TACGTCATTAATAATAACCTCTAAATCTACATATTTTATCTAAAGTTTTTAAAAACTATTTCGTTTAGAAACCCATTTTACAATGCGCTAAGATTTTTGCCCACATTGGAAATGTTTTTATGCTCCTCACTTACTTTATGTATTAACTATTTCTCTTTCTGTTCTCTAGGGATTTTTGAGTGTGAGAGATTATACTTATGCTAATATTTTTTCTATACAATTTGATTACATTTCATTAAATATTGTCTTATTTAAATTCTATATGTACAGCTTATTCCATTTGGTGATCTAATCTTTCAATACCCAGGTATAATTTATATTTTTATTTGAATTGTTTATTTTGAATTATATTTCTCTAAATGGGTATTTGTTACTCTATATTTTATTAATAACTCCATTACTTTTTATAGAAAGTTTGAATATGTTTAGAAAAATATCCATTATTATAGGAAAAGGAAATAATTTCCGTTCTTTTGACCATTGCAGAAAAAGAGGGTTAATATATGAATGAGATGTTATTCCTTGTGATTATAGCAAATACGGCCTGGCCAGTTAATGACCTTAATTTCTTTTTAGAAAGATTGTAAACTGAAAAAAGAGTAAATATCTTAATTTATTCTTATTTTTAGACTTATATAACATATTGAGGAAACTTTATCCCATGTACCTTATTTCATTGGTAGTCAAAATTCATTTTGTATTTAAAATTCATGATAAAAAAAAATAATATAATGATTCAAACTCAAAGTTCAAAAGTATGCTTGTACGTGTTAAGGATAGGGTATTTTCATTTTGCATTTTTTTAACCGATTGAAATGATTTTTGTTTGTATGTTTCAAAATAAGTCGAATAAATGAATCTTATTTTCAATTTAAATGTGGTACTCAATAATAATAGGCAAAGTTAAGTTCACAGATAAATATTATTCTAATGATGTCTCTTAATATTTTTTAATAAAGAAGCATGCATATGTTGCTGAATAGTTTTGTTTGTAAACATTGTTGTCTCTCGATGTCTCCAAACATTGACCTCAAAGTAGGATGCTTTTTCATTGGTCCGTTTGGGAATAATATACGAAACATACGAGGGCTGTCCAAAAAGTTCATTAACCCTACTATTGTTTTTCTTTATGATCATATATAAATTATTATATATTTATTTATACCAAATACATACAAAACGAGTCAGTCATTATATTAACATCACAATAAAGTCTATTAAGTCTTGACTTGTATTATGAAAAGTATTACTATTTGAATCCAAAAGTTTATGACATTTCTGCCTTATTCTGTGTGTAAATTCTGCAACCTTTTATCTTTTTTTTATTTGAATATGACTTCAATCAATGAAAAACAAACTATTTTGACTTGGATTTTATAACCAGTATTTAGTAATATGTACATACAAAAACCACTCCAAAATGACAACAACAACAACAAAAGAACGGTTAAAACAACAACAATAGAAAACAAAAAAAAAAAAAAAAAAACACCCCCAAAAACGCTATTCTGCAGGACAGTCCACGTGTATTTAACTGATTATTGATAAAAAAAAACTTTTCTGGGGAAAAATTGATTATCTCCTGTCGTATTGTTTTACACAGTCATTCTCATTTTCATTAGAAAAGGCATGGACAGCGTTAATCAACTACAACAACGTCAACAACAGTAACAAAGAAATCTTTTCCCATTTTCACTAAAAAGTGATTCATATAGGGCTTTGTGATTCATTTACTTTTGGATTAATATTTTTGAAGTTTTTCTGCTCAAAAGAAATCACAAGTATTCAGAAACAGCTTAGAATATTAATACAATGCATAAAAACCTGTTGCCTGGGGAAAGCTGTTTATGTGTAATAATATTTACATTTGCAATCCTATATTAAATATACATGTATTGCATAGTGTAAATACTTATTAAGCTCTTTGCTAACAATGCGAAAGCTACAGAATCATGCTTAAACATTTAATTTAATTTTTTTTTTACATAACCATTTTGACATATAATTAAGAGTTGTTGTTTCAAAATAAAAATCAAATTAATCTCTTGATATTTGTGTAAAGTTGAATTATTAAAACTTAATATTAGTTCAAATTTTAGTATCACATGCATACTTAATTTCAAATGGAATATAAACAAATTCCAATGAATATTATGACTTTAAATAGCATCTCAATTGGACATCGTTGAAAAGCACTTTTGAATTTGTATTTTGTAATGAGTAGCTCAGTATCTTTAAAAGGATAAGCATTGGTGATACTAGAAATAGTGCATTTGTATATCTCAAAATTAGGAAATTGTCTCTTGTGATCAACAACATGGAAATAAGAAGTGGTATGGTCATCGAAATTTTAAAGCAATTTCCAGTGATTTTCTAAAAAGTGTTAGGAAGTATGATGTCGCAACCAGCCCAAGGAGATGAAATTAGAACACGTGAAAATGTGTCACTTTTATCTTACTCACATCGGGCCGGAATTCGACACTTGTAAAATTTTCCCTTTCTATACAGGACAACAGGGAGGTTTCAAAATGCTATCTCTTAAAAAGTGATTCTTTCAATCTAAAATTGTACTCTTTCATTAGCATAGCTACATTAAGAAACCACGAGAGAGAGAGAGAGAGAGAGAGAGAGAGAGAGAGAGAGAGAAATACTAACACCTGCAATAGATCAACCATTTGTAAACTTTAATTCATTTTTTTTTAACCAGTAAGCGTGTTTGTCCTGACATATTCTCATGAAAAAATGTTTTCTTGCTTTTGGCATTAATAAATGTCTTCATTTATTTGGTCGAGATTTATAATAATTGACAGCTTTCAAAATTACATTTACTTCAATTTGATAGAATTTTAAACTACATATCGAAGATAATTGCGAACGATGAAGTTTTGGTACGTTTCAGCCGCCACATCAATTAGATTATTTCCGGAATTGTCCAGACTTGTATCCATTTTAAACTTTTTGCAATATTTTTTTACCATTAAGATTTCCAAGATAATTACATAAACTTTGGTATCCATTCAAATGTTAGAATATTTTGATTAACATGCATTAAAATAAAAGCAAACAAAAGGTATTTTAGAAATTGTTAAAAGTACCAAAATCGACATTTAACTCAATATTAAAAAATCTTTTTAGCTAAAGAACACGCAGAGTTATTCAAATTAAGTTACAAGTTATGATATAAGCAAAGGCAACATTATTTCAGAGGGATATTCTTTTCATGCATATAATATAGAATGCATTCCGACAAAAAGAAACACCATGAAATAAACTGAATAAACATAAATGTAGAAACAGAAGTGCTTCCTTAGTGATGCTAGTTGTAAGTATTTTTGATATATTATCCTTTCATGAACATTTCGAATACTTATGCAGCATTTTTTTAAGAGGACACATCACGAGTCATTGTGAAATGAGGTTAAGATGCTTCATATATGGAAGAGATATTTGGTCAGAGTGTATATATATATATATATATATATATATATATATATATATATATATATATATATATATATATATATATATATATATATATATATATATATATAAGTTTGTCATTAATGCCATATAGATGTATTTAAACAAATGCCACTTTTACTTTAACCCCATTTTCTCGGTAGCTTTGAGTAATCCTTAAACAAGTTAGAAAAAGGATTAAAACTTCTTTGCGACGATTTCATGAGAGTCGCTTTATATCAATATATTTGGGAAAAATGAACTTGTCCATTCTGGAAAATTTTATTTTATCAAATAAAATCTGCGATAAAGTTAGTCAAATTGGAGAGCTGATTTCATAAAATAGAATGTCAGAAAGTACTAAAAGCTAAATTACCCTCGTATAGCAGACATTTTAATGATGTTTTTGCATTTTTTTTTCTAATTCTATTAAAAATATAAATATTTCAGTTTACGAAAACATACATATATTTCGTTTATGTCTTTTGATATATTTTTACACCCCCTGCAATAGTAAGTTTACAGTTCATGCATTAATTTATTTTACTAATTTCTAAATAATTTTGAAAGTTTATTTTCTTATATGTAGTAATTCTGTTTTTCTGTTTTGAAATACTTCTTTTCAGAAACACTTCAAAATTGTCACAAACAGGTATGATTAATATTTGCAACTGACATTTTAAGACATACTTGTATTTTCCAGTTGTTTCATAATATACCGCCTTCTTTTTTTCAGTTCTCCGTATGAAGTACAAGCGCTCTGAGTCATTTAAACTGCAAGAAAAGATATTGTGTATCCCCATCAGTTAAGAAATTAACATCCCTGTCAAAATATGATAATGAAGTTGTTCATTTTTTAAATAGATATTGTTATTTTAAATTTTGTGAATTACATGTAGTATTGTAATACATAAATAAGATTTTAAAAAACGTAAAAATTTTGGATGTATTTGATATTTAAAGGGCTTACATAAATTAATGATATATATATATAGATAATTTGGTTTCTTTACATTTCAAGAATTGCTTGCGTTTACAAACATATAAATCGTTAAAATCTGATAAACACATGTAAAAAAAAAATGAACATCACTAAAAGAAACATATAAAGAAACACATAAAGAAAGATAATATTAAAATTATTATGACTGCGTGAAAAAATTAGAGTAATCTCATATTTGAATACATTTATGAAGACTTTGTCAAATTAAATATGCATCCCTTTTTTAAAACAGTAATTTTTCCAAATATCTCACCAAACCTGTAGTCTAGTTTCTAATGGGTTTTTTTTTTAATTCGAGATACTTATGTATTTATGGTAGTAAAATTTGGTTGAAAACAATGAAATATTAACATTTCTAGGTATCAACTCACGGTTTCAAAGAAACAACAAATTGGATACTAAAAAAGAATTCATTCATCCAAAGTAAACATAAGCTTAATAGAAAGTTCCAATTGCCTACACATTTTACGGGTATGAAATTGTAGTTCATACAAATGTTAACATTTGTTTGGCGTGAATCTACTTTTTTTCATTGCAGATTTTGTTGATATGATGCAGCGCTTCCGAAGCAAAGAATATTGCACCACTCAAGTTGTCGTTCACAAAATCTCAATTCCTGCAGCCAGGCACAGATAACGCCTCTTTTGATGTTAAATTCACGCTGAAGAAATCGACATCGTTGGATTAAAAATTTAATAACATAACTAAATTAATTTCAACTCTAATTACGCTACGTTATCATTGCGATTAAATGTATAATAAACAAAACGTTCCAAAATGTTTGAATTTAGAACTCTTTACGACGGGAGGTAGAAATGTGAATTAAAAGATGAAACAGATCAATCTGTTTATTATCTTGTTTTATATAAAAGTCTATGCTAATTTTCATGATAAAAATCAAAATAGAGGAATCTCATTTAAGAAAACGTGTTATAAATGTGGCGATATACAATCTAACAAAACCGATTAAGATGTTATTTTGTTCTATGACGGAATATTTGCCATCCCCTGGAGAAGAGCTCGTCTATCAAAGCCATCGCGTGAAGACCTTTTTATTGCTTATCAGGATCCCTACCCTGTTCCAAGATAGCATTAAGTGTAATTAAGTATACACATGCCGTTTATAAGCAGGCTCCAATAGCCTTCTATAATAAAATCATTTCTCATTAAACACGAACTGTGATAAACAATGTAGTGTTGTATGTCTTCAAAAATGTTCAGGTTCTTTTCAAATGGAAAGCAAGCTAATAATTCTAAAACAAAGACTGGCATTTGTTTTTAATGACATCAAAACTTAATATAGTAGTCTGAGTTTTGTTACAGGTTTAATATTATCACAAAGAGTGTTAGATGAATATGTTGATTTTTTCATGAAAGAATATTGTATTTCAATCTGGAAAAAATAAATATATCCACTATATTTTATTTGGATGTAAAGTGTTCTATTTTATTTTAAAAATCCTAATGTGCAATTTGATGATTGTCTGTATTCTTTATAATAAAGGCATGTGCACTTAAAAAAGTATGATTTTATTAAAAAAAAATTATGTTCTTCTAATCTTAAAGCAAGTTCATATAACATTTTTTGATAAAAATGAATATTAAAAAAAACTTTATATTATCAATTTTGAGTATTCTCAAAATCTTTACTATCATTTCTTACAAAAATGAATTTAAAGCATGTATTATTTATTGGCACATTTATTTAAAACGTTATAAAGAGAGTTTTTGATAAATAAATAATTATTTGCGCCAATATTGGTTTTATTTTCTGAAATATTCGACGGTCTTTTGATTGAAAACTCTCAACATATGCTGAAGCATAGTTCATAATTTCAATAAAATTCAAAAGTCAAAAGCTTGAAACTGAAATCTACATAAGAGCAATTGAAAGTAATAAGGAATCGGGAAAAAACAGGAATTTAGTGTATGTAGCTGGGTGTCGTGTTTGTATCAATTGAGATGTTTGTTTCCGTATATCAGCGGCATGCGATCGTTCCCATACCACTTAGGAAATAGTTTTGATTCACAAGTGCCGAAAAACTTTTTTTTTCCAAAACCAATCGGTACCATAAAACGTGCATTTGATTAGGAGTTGACATATGTTCCACTAATAAATATATTAGAAAAAAGTACTTTAGGAAGATAATTTTCATGTAGTTGTTGTTAGAAGCTTGCCGTCAAAGAAGAACAGACAATATACAACTCTTCTGACAAAAAGAAAAACATTTAGTTGGGTAAAAATGTTCCATAAGCACTTGAGAGATCACAGTAGGGTCGAGGTGACGCCTGTGTTTGATTACTATACAGAGAGAAATGTTTCTCTCTTGAGATTTCGACAGCTGACTCCAAATCGTTTACATGGATTCAAAATGACAGAGAATGTTACAAAACGCAAAGCTCAATCATACTTCAGTCCGACCTACGTGGATAGTTTTTAATGATTTGATCGGACGATAATAAAGAAATAATTACTGTTTCTGTATGAAATATAGCGAAAACCTAGTGTGCCCTTCCGGTGAACAAATTAAAAACCTAACGCAATTCTTACAAAATGCACATAGAAAGCCATGTCTCGCTCCACAGTTCCGGCGGAAGTAGGCTACAGATGCGATATGAACCAGTTTCTGGAATCGAGATATTATCTAAGTTGACATCTATATTTTTTCATTTTGAAAGATAAATTTAGCACAAACGAGAGCGCAGTCTCAAACATGCAATAAATTTGATTTGAAATGATTTTTTGAAAGACAATATAAGAATAAGACAAATTATTGATTTGAAACTCTGTTAAGATAATTATTCAATATATATATATATATATATATATATATATATATATATATATATATATATATATATATATATATATATATATATATAGTAAGCATCTGAAATAAATGACTAAATGACAATGTTAGAAAAAAGGAGAAAATGAGTTAGTGTTAGGATCCTATTTTTAGCAATAGAGTAATATAACACCTTTCTAAATCTTCCTATCAATTTTAAACCTGAAGAAGGACAAATGATCTATAACCAGGAATGAGAGTTAAGGCAATGATTTTTTTCTCTAAATATTCAATGGTACACATGTACTTTTATGCTCTTTTGTAGGGTGGCATATTTCTGTCCCCTACATGCAAGATAAATCAACATAAGTATCTCGTGACATATTAACTCTCAAGTTGACATAATTATCATGCCTGTCGACATGAATATTTTGCATAACATAATTATCTCGCAAGTTGACATAAATAAGTTGCATGACAACATAAAAAAATCGCATGTCTATATAATTATATCGCATTTCAACATAAATAAGACGCGTGTCAACATAATTATGTTGCATCTATGATGTCAGATGTGGATTGACTTATTTGTGGTATGAAAATTCAATTAATATATCTTGGTTAAAAAATAAGGTATATACCACTCTCTTAGATCAGTTTAAGCAAACATGGTTTAGTGATGTACAAACTTCCCCTAAAGGTTTGAACTATAGAATTTTTAAAAAATCATTAATCTTTGAAGACTATTTGTTGAATTTGCCTCCTAAACAATCCAAGAAATATTGTTTATTTAGAACTGGGAATACAAAATTACCAATTGAGACTGGTAGATGGTTTAACATCCCTAGCGAAAATAGAATTTGTAAATTATGTAACAGCAACGAAATTGGGGATGAATTTCATTACTTATTTAAATGCACTGATGTGTCTATAAAGAACTCAAGAGTTATGTATTTGTCAAAATATTTTCATTTGAATCCAAATGTTTTGAAATTTGAAATGCTTTTTAATGTAACCAATACTAATCAACTTAGCAAAATTTGTAAATTGTTAGATATTATAATGGAGAGAGTTGGCTCTCTTGGTTGACATACTCTGTTACCCCTTCATCAGGCATTATTAATATAATATAATATTTTCTGTTTATTATACTGTACATATCTTCTCTTCACTGTTTTGTCAGTTATGAGAATAAAGTTCAAGTTCAAGTTCAAGATATTGGCGTTAATAAGTAAATTTACCCGTGTTAAAATCAGATTCTCTAAAAAGATTTTAAACTAGCGTGTCAACATAATTATCTTGCATGTTGACATACTTTTTTTGCACATTGACAAAATTCATCTTGCATGTAGGGGGCTGAAATATGCCCCCATGCTCTTGTGCACCACCTTTCACAATTATGATTTGTTGTACGATTTATTTATAGTTAAGTTGTATTTGCTGGGATATCTAATATATGACTAGCCATTATGTCTCTCATTGAATTTAGTCAGATTTAATCATTGTTTGCTTTTAAATCCCTGCCAATTAATTATTTATATTGTGTTATACATTTTGTCTTTTTACATTATTTATTTGATTAAACACATAAGGCCGTTCCATTTATTTTATGATGTACGGGATCCAGCAAAAAGCTAGCTGCAAATTGCCAGTTTTGATGAGTTTTACTTTGAAAAATTTGGGAATATAAAAACTGCTTGTCTGAGGCCCTTACGCCAAAAGGAACCGTTTGAGGGATCGTTTAGAAAAATTCTACCCGAGAGCCCAGTCAGTAAAAAGCTTGTTATACATTTTACGATTAGAAAATTAGATATAGCTCTTGGCGGATATTCCCAAAGACGAGAATCAACGTATGCAAATTAAGCGTGACGTGAAAAAGTCATAGCTGACCGCCAACTAGTCCAACAACTCTCTAAACGAGCATCTGATTACGGTACATGATTGTGCATTTATTGCTGTTGGCAAATGGTTTTTATGTATTAATAAACATCACAACATTGTTTTTTGCAAGAGACTTGTGTCTTTTAATTTCCAAAATATACAGCACACACGTTTTTAGTTCGGTGGAGATGAATAGTTGAATGGAATTAAAAATAAAAAAGAACCTTTAAAAGCAAAAATGCATGGGTTGAAGCTAATGTTTCAAGGAAACACTCCTTATCATCAAACGATAAAGAAATGGGCGAGTGTTTATTGAAAAGGACAATGTACTTAATATCATTAAAAATAATGACTGCTGGTGTCCGTGTTGTAAAAAGACTTCCGCAAATTGTCGGATATGTTGTCTGTCAGACATATATATATATATATATATATATATATATATATATATATATATATATATATATATATATATATATATATATATTCTTTGAAATGGTCTATATTGAAAACGTTTTGTTTCTGAAATACCACATGGAGTAAGGGCGATCCCATCGTGGAAGTAAAAATGCTTACACCCATTTCCCACCCATTTCCATTATTTCTGACTAATTGTTTTATTTTTGCAAATGAAAAAATACTAATCCTTCATGACCTTGTCAGCAAATACAATTTATCATTGAGTTAAATGCTGACTAACATTTTTCATATTAATTGTTAGGCCATTATTTACACACTGAATTGTCGACGGATTTTTCCGTTAGTTCCCGATCATGACAAGGAGCACACGGCGGGTGTGACCGGTCGGCAGGGGATGCTCACTCCTCCATGGCACCTGATCCCACCTCTGATGTTTTGGAGGTCCGTGTTTGCTCTGCAGCTATTTTGTAATGTTTAATGGACTTTTGAGCTTGAATACTGTTCGTTATCTCCATATATTTCATTCAGTACAACTTTACCCATTTTTTACGAATAGCAATGCACAGGCGGTGGTGTTTGCGCTCATCATTTTAATCATACAGTCAAGATTATTTATGAAATTTTCTTTAAACTTATATTTAAAAAAATATCACAAAGAATTATTTAATTGTAGATTAAATTTACTTCAATCTGCACATCTGCTTTGACAATGATGAATGATAACTCAGATTCTAGATTTTTCTTGGACACATG